TCTCTTACCTAATGTCGAACTCGATGTCTCCTCATCCAGTGCCACAGTTTGACTACACTTCTAAAGTGAAGATATCGCTTATATGTACAATACAATATAAGAACAAAATCCAGAAACCAACATAAAACGTGGTACAATGGAAGGACAAATAATTTTATTACTCTAAGTATTCGAAGAATTGTCTTTAATAATAACGGATATTAAAAGCAAAACGAAAATAATTGGATCTTTGTCCCGCAAGACAGACTAGAGGCTACTAAAAATAAGTCGATCATTAAGTTAACCAAGGTCTGCCAAATTGTCCACTAAATTCGTATTTATAACATCAAATTATCTGTAATAATTTCAACGTCCACCGGTTAAATCATTTAAGATTCTTGGCAAAAAACTGTAAAATTTTCCTGTCATTCCAATTTCGATCTTGACGACAATTCGTTTATTTTAATTGCAGGCATTTGTATTTAGAATTTGAAATTTAAATCTTATACAATCTTGTATGTTGCAATAATATAAACGATGTTTAAATTGTAAGTAATTGTTACTAGGATAACATTAAAGAAGAAGTTAATATACTTCAATATGCCAATTAATCTGTCAATTATAATTTCATAAACCATATCACAAAGGTGCTCTTTTTAGTTCCGAATCAAAATTCTGTTGTCTATGGTAGTCGCAACGGATCTGAAAAATTCCATTATAGTTCAGTACATAAACCTATAAAGCTATAATGAGTATTATAATTCAGTACACAGAACTATAATGAGTTTTAAAAAAAGAACGTCGTATTTTTGCTAATTAAAATATCAATTATGACTATTCTGAAACGCTTTACTGGCTCCGGATTGGTTAAATTGGCCTAAAAGACTTGCAACCGGGCCATAAAGTTTTATTTAAAAAATTATCGGTTAAAATATAATCGGTACTTGTTCACTTCTACTCTGTTTAGTTTTTTGTTTTGTAAAGTTTGTTTGTTTGTTTGGTTTTTTTTTTTGGTTTTTGGGTAGAAGTTTGGTTGACTTACGTTATTATATGAACTCTTAGAATAATAAAGCATAGAAACTAAGTCCGCACACGCTAAGTGAGGCAAATTGAAGCGCTCCCAATGGGCCTACACGAGCAGGCGGGCCGTCAGAGCTCAAGGTCAACTTGCACCGCGAACCGCTCAAGAATTTTAGCTAAAAATGATGAAATGTGCGGCAAATGTGTGTAAAAATACGTCAGACACACATAAAATAGATACTAACATCACATTCCACAAGGAAGTAACGCGTTTCAACTTGTATTTTTATACAAATATTCACTAAAACCGAAAATTAACCTACTACTAAAACTAGCCTACATGAATTTGATTTTTGCCTCACTTGTGACAGTTCGTTTGATATGAAACTATCATTCTATGCGTTATCATTCTAAGTATTAACTCTTAAAAAAAGTATTGTATGCAACCATTAAATAATTAGATCTTTAAATCTCGTACATGTTACTTGGGACACTCGGCAAAGCCTCATGGCCTGAACACGGTATTTGACTTTATGCAACAATTGCGTAAATTACAATTTTTTAAATAAATTGTAATAAAAACAGTTAATAAACTGCAATTAAATTATTACTACCAGACAAAGGTACTTGTACTTTATATAATAATACGGTATAATTGAAAAAAGCTCAACCAATTTAATAAGATACATCGGCAGTTAATTGCACACACAACAACGAAGAAATACTGGCAACTAATAATAGATCAAATTATAGTATACTTAAAAGTAACAGATAAAAGCGAATACCGACCAGGTGGTCGAAGCTTCTCATAGCAACAACGCAACTAGACACAACACGCATTGTTCTCAGATACAAGAGTGGTATCAAATCCTATACTTGTATTACTTACATGTACAGTAATGCTATATGACAATGGGTCTCGTGTTCGGTTTTAAATGCACTTTTGTGCTATAGCGTTGTTATATGACCAACCTCGTTGCATTGGCGATGACCACACCACTTAAATGATCAATTGTAATTTTTCCATAAACCTTTTATTGAGTTGTATGATGCGGAAAATGTGCCGCACGCATCTTGATTTAAATAAATGTAGCAAATGACTGTGCAATAGACAGCTCATGAATATATGTAATTAACGGTTCAATGATTTCTAAGAATACGGATTGTGATACAATAGTTTGCTAAGGTTTTTTTTCAGGGTTTGGTTTTATAACCAATTTTATTCAGCAAACATAAAAAAATAACGTAATTAACGCTTGCTTTGATTAATGTTGGAACAGTCAATAATTTTTTTACTTACAGTGAATTTCGTTTACATGGAAAAAAATAGGAATTGGTTGGTGATATATATATATTTAATACATATCTCTACAACTGCCAAGTACTTGCCTAATGTTAGATTTGTTTAGTAATCTTGACTTTTGACATTTTCAATAATGGATACGCAACCGTTGTATGTATTTGTGCATCAAGCACTTAGAATGGAGGCTTAAAATCAATTTGTTGCAAAATAAGTTTGATTCATTTGAGTCAATTAATATTTATTATAATTAATAAATGGATATAAATGGATATCTCGATGGGTGGATATAAATAAATGGATATAAGTAATAGATTTTTTTAAACATCATCGTTATCGGATTGTTTCTTTTTAATTCGTTTTAAACTTCTTGAAACCCAATGGCCTACTTGTATATTAAACGCTGTATTACACAGATAAAAGTAATTAAAGAACTAGTTTTAAATAATGTAAATAAATTAGTCTAAGGGACTGAGGAAACAAAATTGAAAACGTTTTTAATGTACAAGTAAATTTCGCAAGGTGAGAGTAGATGCATAAAAAGAACGAAAGCATAAAACAATGTGATTTTCGAGAAAACCGTATCAAAATAACTAATAGATAAAAGGAGAACCATTAAACCAAATAAAAGCTAGTTCCAATAAAAAAACACTACGATTCAATTAAGACGTAGTAATAAACATATTTAATCTATACTAATATTATAAATGGGAAAGTAACTCTGCTGTTAAGTTTTTGTAAGTCGCTGAATCAATATTAATGAATTTCGGTGTAGAGATATATGGGACCTAGGAGAAGGACATAGGGTTATAGTTTCTGTCACAAAAATAAATCTTAAATGGGTTGATATAGGGGATGAAATTTTGAATTGGAGGCCCAATAAAACTATGGACCCAATAGAACTATAGTACAGTACAGGGCTACTCGTAGTACTTATTCCAAGCAGACGAAGTCGCGGGCACTAGCTGTTTTATATAAAACGATACAAGTGGATAAAGATAACATAATGCACGCTTGACTGTCAACGTTTTTAACTGACAACGAATTCGAGAGCTAATACGACGAAGTAGAATTTCAAACGTCGTTGACGTTACTGGTAACGTAAAGTAACTGCAATAAAATATACTGCAACAATAAAGACCGAATCGCATTCCACAACTCTCAAAAATTGCACCCTAACACTATAGGGTTGCCATATCATCGACATAGAGCAAAATGAACATTGCGTGATAGCTAAGCCGTTACGATGACGGCCATTTTTTTTACCTTATTAAAATGGGAAACGGTTGCGGTGACCTCGAGGCTGACGAAACTCTGAAGTGAGTGACTTTGTGAGCGAAAGATTTAAAAGATGCTTTCGATGAGTTCCGTTGCGAATTGTAGTTATTACTCCGCGTGCGCTTTTTAACCATAGCTTCATCTTTCTTTTTTTATCTTCGAATGTAAAGTAAGAGAATGACCTAGAAAGTGTTCGAATTTATTGGTTCTTACGCGTGTCCAAAACGCTTACAGAAGTATCGGTTATGTTCTGTTCATTCCTTTGTTTTGTTATTTTTTTAAAGTCACGTATGCGTTCAAACGTATAATTCTTTTAACTCATAAGGAATTTCAATCTAAATCTGTCCAAAATGTTGACCTAATTTTTCGTTCTATTAACGTTGTGCAGTTTCCGAAACTGTTTTAAAAGAGCAATAAATCAAATTGCAAAAGCTTGGAAACATAAAGAGCGCAGGTAGACGACTGACCGACACTAATAGTCTAATAATAATATGAGTTTTGGCACACATCCCAATGCACAGGGATGCTGCATAGCTTCTAACAAAGCTGATTGGATGATCATGGACTTTTTCTTTTGCTTTCGTTTATTTTTGGTACATATTTTTGGTTTTTCTGTAGAATCTTTCCTGTCACTCTTAACAACAAGAATTAATCTTTGTTTACATGTATTTAAACTTTAACTATGTCAATAACTTAAGAATTTTTGTTCGATCTTTTCGGTTTTATGGACATCCCTAGTTTTTTTCTTTACATCATTACTTTATATTATTATTATGTGATGACAATTCTTTATGAGTTTCGATCCATTTAGCTCTGGGTTCTTTTATAAAATGTATATCAAGATAACTGGTTGATTTATAATGACAGGTTGTTCCTATTTTATTTTTTTCTCGCTTATCATTTACGGCTATATTTCCTTTTATAGGACTATGCCAAATGACAACGCAAACGCACTTATGTAGGCATTGTCTTCTTTGTATTGCTTTTTGAGAACGCATTCAGAATACGTGTTTAAAACCGAATTGCACCAATTGTTACGAGTTCAGTTGCACGTTGAGGAAGTTGGTAACCTTGAAAATTATTGGGTAACTTTTGAAACATCCGATTATGAATAGTTAACTCAAAATAATAATGAAACGGAAACTAGGTTGAGCTAAAACATTACAGCAACTACTTAACTACTTGTGGAAGTTTTTACGATCTCTTACTTGCGATTTCAAAACAAATGATTGTGACTAGTCAAAGCAAAAGTAGACGGTGTCCAAGTGTTTTACAAATACAAGAGACAGTGAACGGAACGACGAAAAAGTAAACCATCCTGGAAACTGACACGCAATGCTTTTAAACATAAAAATATGATCAACAAGTGATCAAGAGAGAGCTGGTAAAACTTTGCCCGACTTATAAGTAAAAGTAAACTTACCTATTAGAAATAGTCCTCAAGCCGGGTCGTCTGCAGAAAACGAGCAGAGCCAGCGAATTAGCCCCAGCTGAGACCAGAAACAAAACAGACAGCACGATCCGCTCAGCCAGCCAACCGGTCTCCATCTCCTCTGACATCAACGTACGTCCAGGAGACACAGAAGTCGGCGGTTCCATTCAAAAGTCATCACTAACACAGAATTCACTGCAACTTGACACTCTCAGTGTGTAACTTAAACTTCACTGCAGTGTAGTCGCGTAAAGTTTGGAGAACACGCAGGTATGAGCCCGCGTCTTTCTCGTAGCGCTGTCGGATGACAACTGAGCGGCGGAGCTGTATACCGGAATCCCGTGGCTAGGCTACCTTATCCCCTCCACTATAACACAGTGTAGCATTATCAACAGTACGTCATTATAGTTTTACATAGTCTAGCTTATATAAAGTTGTATTACTGTATCTACAGTATTTACGGTTGTTCTAGACAACACAACTCCATAAGGTCTTGATTATAAAAGAAAGTTTCTATGCATAAGAAATGTGTTACCCATATTTGTAGAGACAATTAACTGTATATAAGAATTGGCCTGTATTTTTGAAGCCTGACTTAATAAAACTGTTATGTTTTCTTTGCGGTTCTTTCGCTTCGGTGTATTCGATTGAAAGTTTTTTCATGACATGAAGTTGACGATGAAGCTAAAAAGGGAACAAGGAAAATCGCGAGGAATATTATAAATCTTCCTTATATAAACAATAGACTTGATTTTGAATAATAAATATTACAAACAAAGTTACATAAAATGTACCTAAACAACTTATATAAATGTAACATGTAATAAAATATCAATCGATGTATTTTTGGTTGATATAATGTTTATGGCTTACTTGACCAAAACAGAAGAAAATATATGAACCATGAGATTAAAGAAAACGCTTTGCAGAAGACTGATAGCACAGCCGGTGCGATAGCCCTGTGGAAATGCGGTTGCTTCCCAAATGCGTAATCGACGGTTCGAATTCCTGTGGCAACATGTATCTATGACTTAAGTGTATAACTACGTACATTTGTGAATTTTTACTAGAAATGACTCTCGCTAGCGGTAAGGATAAATATCGAAGAAGGTTCACAAGCCTTGGTAATGTTGTGTAGTTCCTAACCTCCATTGAGGTTGTGACATGCTCTTTCATCATCATATCACCTTTTTATCGCCCTTTTCTCTAGTAACTTACACTTACTTTTGGAATTTTGAATCGTTCTCTAATTCTTTTTCTTCGTCATTCTTACTTCGCTTCGTTCCGTCATCACTCCCATAAAAATTCTCGAGGAGAAAAGACTTGTCCTTCAATCATGTGGTTAGTGGCTTAGAATAATAACGCATAGAATGATAGTTTCATATCAAACGAACTGTCACAAGTGAGGCAAAAATCAAATTCATGTAGGCTAGTTTTAGTAGTAGGTTAATTTTCGGTTTTAGTGAATATTTATATAAAAATACAAGTTGAAACATGTTACTTCGTTATGGAATGTGAAGTTAGTATCCATTTTATGTTTGTCTGACGTATTTTTACACTCATTTACCGCACATTTCGTCATTTTTAGCTAAAATTCTTGATCTGTTCGCGGTGCAAGTTGACCTTGAGCACTGAAGGCCCGCCCGCTCGTGTAGGCCCTTTTGGCGCGCTTCAATTTGCCTCACTTAGCGTGTGCGGACTAGGTTTCTATGCGTTATTATTCTAAGGGTTACGGCTTATAAAGCAGCAATATAAGCCCTTCATCTATATTCACCCATAAACATGGCTGTGTGTAATTTAAGTTGGAGAGTGTTTCATAGTGTTGTACCTATGTTTTTATACCATTTTTTTTGTTACAGCCTTTCCTTCTGCTTTCCATACCTTTTCGTTGTTTCTACCTCTACAATAAAAATTAAGTGGACCGAGACTTCTCTTTGACTTATCCAAGGCTAAGCTACAATGTGATGAATTGATGACTGTGATAAAGAGAACTGAAGTGAATTTACCACATCAGCCTTACTCTTAAATCTAAAAGAGATAATAATGATAATTTGATGGCCTTGATGGGCCCGCAGTTAGTAGTGTGGGCGCTAGATGAGGTGTTTCTTGGTTCAGTTCCTCGTTGGACCTATTTGGAAAATGGTAATCTATTAAGGTAAGGTTGTTGTTTGACGCCAGTACTTGTATTGAAACCTGTACAAGCGAAGGAAGCAAAAATAGAATCCTGAGCGTAGCGAGTGTTTCAAGGCACAAGACGCAAAACAACTTTGCCGCCGAGCGAAACACACAACTTTTATCTCACCTCAAAATGGTTGGTGAAAGAAAAGCAGTGCAACTATAAGAGATCAGTATTTTTATTAAAAGAAAAAGTTTTTCTTCGGATGCGTTCTGAATTTACACCTCATCAATTTTTATTCTTGCTTGTACTTTTATTTTGTGTGATTAAATGATTATTGAAATTGATTTAGTTCTTCGACGAATTAAAATAATTTAATAAAGACAATTAGTTATTATTGTCAACAATAATAAGAATAAAATATACCAACGGATTTATATTACATAAATAAGTAATGTACGACAAATCGTGTAGTAAAAAGTTAGGTCCATCGTCTAGTACGAATTCCAAAAACTTTTCCACGCTAGCGTGCAAAATACGCTTTTCCGAGTTAGCGAGGTCAAAAATATTTATTTAATATACATAAAAACAGACTTGATTTGCCCAACCCAGCACTTTAGAATTGCACTGACTGCAACAAAAATTTTCAGGATGCTGTTGTGTTTTTATTTTTTGCTATTTTTATTATTATTTTTTCCTCATAATATCGCTTTACCGATTATCGCTTGGAAGCCGTCTACGTGCGCCTCTACGAACATGCCTGATGCACTGTGCCATCTTGACAGTCCCAATAGCATCTTGAACCCGGGATCTCTGCGTGGCAGTCCGGCATGGTAACCGTTCGGCTACGGAGGCAATTAATTGTATTACTGAACTATATGTATATATTGCATTGAACGCGTAATGCGCGTAAAGGCCGTTCGAGTAAAATTATTGGTTGTAAGCTTTGAATAAAGTAATTCATATGTATGAATGTATGACATCGATACAATTAGAAGAAGTAGTTAACTTAGATCATATTATTATTTTTGTAGTTCTAGAGTATTCAGGTACATAAAGCTTTTCGCACTTGTATACCAGTTCACTCTATCTAGAAACGTCTTTCTGCTTCATTCCACGTCAGTCCGGAAGTTTTCGCTCTCGATGGTGTGCCGCCAGGTAGACACGGACCGTCCAGGTACCCTTTGTTGAAATAGCTCTGTAAAATATATCTGAGAATACAATACAATAACGTTTTTCGTCTTATGCCGTTTCTACCCTGGTGGTAAAGTGCGTCTAGCGTATTTGTCGTGAATACATTTGACAAGTCTCTCGCCTTAATGCGTAAAAGTCATTGGTATTTTGTTACGAGAATGAGCAAATCAGCCAATGTAGAATAGAAAAACAGTTATTGCAACGACACAACACATTACCAAAAAAGAGATTAATAATACAGTAATACCCCGTTTTACGCGGGGGATGCATTCCGGACAAAATCGAGTTAAGCGAAATTCGCGTAAAACGGGGTTGTTATTTTTTTGTTTTTTTTAAGTTTTTTAAGTTTGGCCCGCCTGGTGATGTAGTTGTTTGGTCGCCCCAGGGTCCCTAACTTGACCTAACGACTGCACCAGAGATAGATCGGGGTATGATCGAATAACAAGCTAAATATTGTAACGAACGTGCTATTCGAACGAAGCCATCATTTCTAACACTTTTTTTTCTTAGCCGGTGGCGTCATGTTCGTAAAAATTATCTTTTAAAAGACCTACCAAGAAAGAACTACCTGTGATAGTGCACTTTTAGTAACTAAGAAGCTACGGGTATTTGTTCATAATAATAAATCCTTAGCTATCTTTAAAGTGAGGGTCAAGGAGCACTATTTATACAATGTTCCATCAATTTTATAGATATTACAATACGTAATAAGTATTTATATAGTCTGTAGTAATTTTCTTTTTGTCTACACAATAGTTCTGTTCCACGCAGACAAATTAGCTGTAAATCATGCCTACAAACTATACTTATAACTATCATATTACTAAGTCAATTTATTTGCGTGAAGCAGAAAAAAAAATCGAGCCCCAATAGGAGCTCAGTCCTTATGAAATCCGACATTCAGAAAGTGTTAAAAATCAAACAATGGAATTTTGACATAAAATAACGTACGTGTATGGTGGCGTATCGGTACTTACGTGCTACTCTATGTCCGTAGCCTCAATACTTTTTTGAAATATACATTAGTTTTACATAGAAAAATATTCTTAAATTTGTGTCAATTTGAATAGTGTAAAGCTAAATGATTAATAGGTTAATACCTAAACAAAATTTAAAAAAAATGTTTTATTTTGTTTATTTTGTTTGTATTTATAACTTTTTAAAATAAAGTGCTAAAAATATACATTACATAAAATCGCACTAAATTCCATTGCAACTGCTATGAACAGGCGTGTCGCATAATAGCAGGCGCACGACATGTTCGTCCCATCACTTTGTATCATAAAAAACTAGTGGACATGTCTCTTCACAATAATTGACCCTATATTAATGCTGCGTGACCATAGCAGCAGTATAGCTCCTTGAGAAAGAGTTCGTTCGTTCGAGGGTGCTCGTGAAATTACAGGCACATGGAACTTGTCAACTTATGGCTCAGGGTGACGCAGAGGCAGTGCCCCTCAGACTGAGTGACACTGCAACTGTTATGAATAGGCGTATGCTTACCATCAGAAGGTAGATGACACTTTTTCGCACAAAAGGTTTTCTCCACCATCACACACACAAAGGTCTACCACTCAGCTCGTATATAGTAAAATAATTAAGTAGCAGTAGAGCTCCTTGTGAATGAGTTCGTCCAGGAAAGTACTGCCACCTTACCTATTTCTGCCGCCAAGCTACTGCTTCAAAACCATTAATACATTCAAAAGCATTACTGCGTTCCGGTTTTGAAGGGTAAGGGTGCTGGTGAAATTACAGGCATATGGGACTTGTCAACTTATGTCTCTGGGTGACGGGCGCAGTGACAGTGCCCCTCAGATTTTTGCGGTTTAAAGCTGCAATTGGCACTGCAATTGTTATGGACAGGCGTGAGCTTACCATCTGTTCGTCACATCACTTGATGTTATAAAAAATATTCATCAGATAAGTTCAGGAACTAATTTGTCCCTTGTCATTTCACAACACAGTTCGCAAAAATATTCTGTAATATATTATCTACAATATTAGTCG